TTAATTATGCCCAAACAGGCTGTTTTCTGCAGCACTTTAAAGAAATTAATGGTTCTCTTAGTATACACGAGCAATCAAAACAAGATAAAAAATATAAGAAACTAGACTCGTAACCGGTTCTAATGATGCTGATTTGATAATTTTCAGATTTATACCCAAAGTGAACAACACTTCCAAAGTTACTATTTTAAACCAGTTTCTGGACAGATTTGAATGCAGCATTTAATACAGATTTTGACTCCTAAAAATTATGAGAAAATTCACATATGCAATTTAATATGTAATTAATCTACTGTAAAAATTTCAATTTAAAATTCATCAATTCAATATAGTTTCTTGATTTTTAAAGTTTGTGATTATGTGCAGAATTTTTGGACTAAGAATTACACTCATTCTTTATATATGAATTTAACTCCTTAGATTTCTTAACAGTATATATATATACAAAATACATAAACCCACAACCTCTCCATCAATGAACTAAATAATAATAGAGTAAGGATAAAAAACAAAAACAAAGAGAAGAAGAAAGTTAGAGACCTACCACACACTCAAAAGTTCTTCCTTGTTTGCAACCCCTTTTTTTTCTTCTTCTTTTCTCTCAACCTCTCTCTCCCCATGGCTGCCATTGCTGTTGTTATATATTATATTAGGCAACCTAGAGTTACTTTATATATCTAAACAAAAGGTTGTAAATTATTATCTCTTTATACTATTTTATTTTCTAACCCATTAATTTAAATAAAATATAACTATTATTATAACAAAATATACTTACTAACTTGCCCTCTATTTTTTTTTAAAATAATAAATCTTGCCTCTAAATTAAATACTTTCACCATAAATTTATTTTAAGTTTAAAATTAATTAAAAGACTCTCCAATAATATTTAATTCGCACTTAAAAATTCACAATAAAATATTTGACTTTTGTAAAATTATTATTATCTAATTATTTATTTTATTCGTATATTCGGGTTCTTACACTTTCAATTTCTAATTCAAAATAGAATTCCCAACAAATACTTCACAGATCAGACAGATACATGCAAATTAAACACAAAGTACATAATTCAAATTCAAATTCCACATGATTAAATAAATGCAATTATGATATGCATGGTATAGCTATCGCAGGAAGAGATTATGTTGTCATGGTGTGGACGGGAGGATGGGAATTCTCAAAGAGGGAGAGGGGGAACAAATATGGAATCAGAGAGCAAAAGAAGTTTACCCTACCAAGTTGAGCCATTTTAGCGAGTTAACCTGTTTATACTGGGTTGATCCATTTTTAACCAAATATATTAAGGGGTAAAATAGAAAATTCAATACTAAAATTTCTTATATCATCACATTCCATCCAATCTTGTAAGGGGGGAATAGAGGAAGAGAGTGAAAGATTAATAAAGGAAAAAAGAGAAAATTCATTGATATAATAGGGGTGTTCGAAAAATCGATGGAATCAATAAATCAATCCAATTCGATCCAAACCATCAATTTGGTCTAGTTTTTATTAGATTCGATTATGATTCTAGTTCTGAAAATGGGGGAACGGTGGGCAGTTTTCTAGTTCCAGGACTTTAGTTACAGTTTCAGATTGAACCGGATGGTGACATTTGTTTGTTATTATTTTTTTATATGTAAAAATTGAAATATAAAAAGCTTCTCATAAGATTTGAACACTTCTTTATTACAAAATTAAAAAACTCTAACTAACTTAACTAAACTAATAATGCTTGAGACCACTAAAAGTGGTGCTCTAAAAGCACCACTAGTGATGTGGCAGTGGACGGGACCTACTGCTTGTGTCTTGTGTTTTTTTTTTTAAATAATGTTTTAGAGCACTAAATTGAGAGCTCTAGAGCATCACTAATGATGTGGCACAGTGGCCCCCACCAAAGTGATGTGATATTTTGGCTTGAGTTTATTATTATTTTTTTTTTAAACTCATTAGAGCTATTAGTGGTCTAAAAATTAGTGGGATGAATCACCACTCTTTTTTTTTTTTTGGTTAAAGTGCTTGCCAACTCATTAGTGGTGCTTTAGAGCACCACTTTTAGTGGGATGTATCATGACCCTTTTTGTTAATATATTTGCTAGCATAAAATATTTATCATATTTATTGTTATATAAATTTTCTAGGACCATAAAATCATACCAAACCAAACCAAACTGGTTTCTATGGTTAGGTTATGGTTTGGTTCCACAAATTTAACGATGTGCTTACAGCTCCAATTTTTCTAAAATCGTAAAGACTGGTTCCGTTCCCTACTTACTTTAAAACCAAACCAATCTGACTTATGTACACCCCTTGGTACAATGACTAGGGGGGTAGAGAGTGATCAGCAACTACCTCATTAATGCCATGGGTTTGGGATTCAAGCTTGTACCATACCTATGCATGACATTGTTACTGTGCAAAATGAGACATAGAGGAGTCTTTATTCCTAAAAAAGGATTGTTCTTAAGCCTATCTATACTAAGGTCAAGTTTGGCAATTCTTAAAAAATTCAAAAAGTCAAAAAGTCACTATCTTATTTAAATCATATCATCTTATTTAAGTCACATCACTTCTCTAACACATCACTTCAAACCCAACCCAAACCCAACCCATATTTCATAAAAAGTCAAAAAGTACACTTATTTAGTCTTCCCAAACTTGACCTAATTTGAGCAATTGTTGGAACTAATATCATAAACATTAAAACCATACTATAAGCGTCTGTTCAAACAGTAAAACCCCACCCTAAATCTTGTTGTTTATGTCTTAGTAAGTATTCAAAAAAATAATTTATCTACTTGTAAATCATGGGTGGGGTTTCAGAAATGGGCTGTGATTGAGGCCTCGAAAATGAGGCTCGAAATTGCCTCGAATGTAATTTTTCTGAATTGTTTGTTTTTTCTGGGCTAAATCATTGCAGAAAAAAATAAATAAAAATAATAATAATAATAATAAGCAAAGCATCAACCCAGCAAAAAAAAAAAAAAAAAAAATCAAATTTGAGCCAAAAAATTTGAGGCCTCAAACATTAATCTTCAAAAATATACCCAAAAGAAGTTGCCAGCAATTCTTTATTTTATTCTTACAAAATGAACTCATGATGATTGAATTTAAATTCACACTTTTAATCTTTCAGTACATTTCATCATTTTCTGCTCAAACTTATCAGTTTTAAGGCTACTTCTCACAAATGCATTCACTTCTCAAATTGAGACGCTATTTGGAACTCCCCTCACTACAACAATATTGGGTTTGTATGGCTTCACATCAAAGACATGCAATAAATGTAAGTCGTGGTATCTCATTTTTACTATTTTTTTTTTTGCATGTCGTAAATAATTTCTCAAGCATAATATGTCTATTGCGTAGGTCGTGAATGCTAACAATAATGATTTTTTTACGACTTACAATGTTAGCTGTAAATAATAAGACTTTCTATGACATGCATATAGTAAGCTGTTAATACATCAACTATCACGACATGCGTACACCAACTGTTAAAAATATTAAACATTTCATGGCATGCATAAAGCCAACTGTTAAAAATTTTACTTTTCACAACGCACAAAAGTCAACAGTTTAAAATATTACACTTTCCGCAACATACAATGGCTATCGTGAAAGGTATGACCAAAAAATAAAGTAGCGTCAAAATGAAAATTTTGAGCCCCAAACACCAAAAATAAATAAGAAATTTTCATCTCCTCTTTCTATACACTATGTCTATTTAGGGATGGCAATTTGAAACCGGCCCGACGGGGATCCCCGATCCCGACCCCTATTTAAGCGGTTTTTCCCCGAAAAATATCCCCAACGGGGAGGGGACGGTATTTGAAAATCAATCCCCGATCTGTTTCGGGCCGGGGACGGTGATCAGTGTTCAAGCCCCGGCCCGGCCCCGTCCCCGAATTATCCCCGAAGTGAAAATACCCTTTTACCCCTCCTATATATATATATATAAACCAAACCTAATTTTTTATTTCACTTCCTGTGTGCCTCTCTCACTCTCACCGTGGCTTTCATCTCTCTCTCCCTCACTCTCAATGACTCAAATATCATCTCAGTCTCATCTCTCTCCCTCCCTTTCCTCTCCCTCTCTCTCTCTCTCCTCATCATCTAGATTAGATCGAAACAGATCCGTCGCCGATCCTCCACCACCACCGCCTCTGTCGCCATGGCAACACCGCCTCTTCGCTTCCTCTTCGCAACACCGCCGATCATCCGCTGCAGCTTGACAAACAGATCTGCAGATTTTTTTATTTTTTTAAGTGGATGATGATAGATGATGATGATAGATGATGATAGATCCTCCACCACCACTGCCTGCGTCCCTATTTCAGATTTTATTTTTTATTTTTTATTTTTTAAGTTGCTGTTGATGATGATGTGGATGATGATAGATGATGATGATAGATCCTCCACCACCACTGCCTCCGTCGCCATTTCAGATTTTGTTTTAATTTTTTTACAGTTGCTGTTGATGATGATGATAGATTCATATATATATAAAGATTCATATATATATGTATATATATATATACAATACAACAGATTCATATATAAAATTCATATATATATGTATATATGAATCTATTCAATACAACAGATTTTTTAATTTTTGAGTATATATATTCATATACAACAGATTTAAGAATATATATATAGATATGTTTAAGAATATATATTCATATACAACAGATTTTTGAGTATATATATTCATATTCAATACAACAGATTCATATTTATATATTTATATATTTTTTTTTGTTAGTTTTCTACCATTAGATTAGCATCTTTTATGTCTACCCTTAGATCTACCTACAAGTTTCTGAACTCGGGCAATTCGGCCAATTCGGGCAACCCGAGTTCAAAATACAAAGCTTGGGCCGGACTTGGACAACAATGTTCGAGTTCATGGTCGAGCTTGGGCGAGCTTGGACAATGCCAAATACAATTCGGATCGGGCTTGGGCAGACCCCCAACCCGACCGAACCCGCCGCCCGAGTTGCACCCCTAATTGAGCTAGTAGTATATATAAATATATCTTCAGTTTTTGAAAGGCAAAGAAGAAATGAGAACCCTCATCTCATCTCGTCTCTTGTCTCTCTCTCTCTCTCTCTCTCTCTGAACTTTGAAGATGATGAACGACGGGAGGCGTGATAAGGAACGACGTTGATGGCGATGAGTGTCGACGTTGATGATCACCAGGGACTTAGAGACGTCGACAATCGGCAACTACTCAGTGAGGATTTCATCTACTCGATGTTCATTGATCTCCGACAATAACTGTATCTACTCTTTCTGTTCATTCTTCGATTGATCTCCTTTTCTCCTTTTCTCTATATCTGAAATCTTCTCTGAGACTCTATATTTTGTAAATTGTAATCTTCTCTAATTTGCCAAAAAAATTAGGGTTTCGTTTGCTTGTAAATTAAGACGGTGTAAAGAATGATTAGATTCGCAATCAGAAGAAATTGCCAAAGCAAATACACAAATCACTTACCCAACAATCCATCAAGTTCCTAATTGGCAGAAGGTAAGTATCAAAGAACTCTCTCTATTTATATTTGTAGCCTTTTGTTTTTTTTTTTGTTTGTTTTTAATGGATTTAAAACTAATATGGGTGAGTATTTTGGTATTTTTGATGGTTCATTATTAATTTTAATGGGTTTATGATTAATTTTGTTGGGTTCAATTGACATAAATCCTTCTGAACTCTTGGTTTTTTTTTTTTTTTTTTTTTGTGGGTTTATGATTTTTTGTGCTAGTTTTGAGTGCTGAGTTCAATCTTTTATATTGGCCATTTTGGTACTCTGTTTTCTATAAAATGGTCTCTATTCAAACTATTAGTAATTTGTGTGATGATTTTTCCAGAATTTTTTTAATTAACAATCTCATAACTCGAAACTGAGTACATGATTTGTGGTAAAGAAAAGGGTAAGTGAAAATTCTTTTTGTGTTTTGCTAATTTTGTTATGTCTGTTTGTAGGTTGAAATAATAGAAGTTGAATCATTTTAGGTTGCAGTTGCAGACTTTGAATCAGGGTTTGGTAAGTATTCAACAGATGCTCCTTCTTATAGAGAACTTATTATTAATTTTAATGGGTTTATGATTAATTTTGTTGGGTTTAATTGACATAAATCCTTCTGAACTCTTGGTTTTTTTTTTAGTGGGTTTATGATTTTTTGTGCTAGTTTTGAGTGCTGAGTTCAATCTTTTATATTGGCCATTTTGGTACTCTGTTTTCTATAAAATGGTCTCTATTCAAACTATTAGTAATTTGTGTGATGATTTTTCCAGAATTTTTTGAATTAACAATCTCATAACTCGAAACTGAGTACATGATTTGTGGTAAAGAAAAGGATAAGTGAAAATTCTTTTTGTATTTTGCTAATTTTGTTATGTCTGTTCGTAGGTTGAAATAATAGAAGTTGAATCATTTTAGGTTGCAGTTGCAGACTTTGAATCAGGGTTTGGTAAGTATTCAACAGATGCTCCTTCTTATAGAGAACCATAAATAAGATAGAGTCTGCAACTATATTGAGCCCAAGATATATATATATATATATATACATTATAGCAGGAAAATGAGTGATCTTCTAGAATGTTTGGTAGGTGTCTTAGGTGATGCAACTTAAATGTTGTGTGTGTTTGTGTGTGTGTAAGAGAGAGAGAGAGAGAGAGAGAGAGAGAGATGACTATAGTGAAAGTCCATGCAGATAGGAGATCAGTACTATTACTATCTTTCAGCTTGATGCTTTCTTATTTTTTTGTTTTTTCCTAAACTTAGAATTGTATGTTTTGAGTTGCAGTATGGAAACCAAAAAAAAAAAAATCCAATATGAGGAAAAGACTATTGTATCTTTGATTTGTGTCAAAGTTTTTGTGTTATTTATGTTCTAATTTTTTTTGCGGGGGTTTAGGCAGATGTGAGTGGAATTTTTATTTATATTTATTTATTTATTTATTTATTGGATCAGGCAATAGAATGGCACTTGACGCAGCAAATTAAGAACTTGGATGGAAAACTTGATAAGCAAGTGGAAATATCAAAGTTAATTAAGAATGAGGTACATTTAGAAACGGATTATTTCCCTGAAGGTATACTGCATAGCATAGAATAAAGTATTTGAAATGCAACTTTTGGCTCTGAGTGGGACTGGGGGAAATAATTTGGGTCAGCTTTTCATGAATTATAAGGAGGCAAATCAATGAATCTGATTATGATTTAAAAATGATTCAGTAATAGCATAAAAAGAAGTTCTGACTTGTGGAACAGGTTACTGATGTTCGTGGTGATCTTTCTCAAATTGACTTTGACTTGGACGCACTATAGAGAATGGTTTGTGGCTCGATGAGTTTTGTCTCAAAGTTTTTAAATGATTCAGTGCAACCCATTCAACATAAATGATAAGTTTTTCAGGATATAAATGTGACTAGTCTCATTTTAATTCCACTACTTGGATATTGAGTTTGTGAGTTGTGCATGCAATAAATGTCCAACTATTTTATGATTTTCATCTCTTAAACATAATGAAATTTTTGAAACTTTTTTATTTTTAAATTTTTATAGAGGTTATATGTATGTTTAGGAATTTTCATTATTAATTTTGTTGGGAATTTTGGTGAAAATTAAGTTTGAACCTTCTTTTTATTACTTTATGTATGATTTTTCTTGTTTGATTCTATCAAAATCATCACAAACTGTGGAAACAGTAACTAATTTTCATGAGTATTGTGACCATATTTTTGGTTCTCTATTTTGTGTACTTTGTCCCATTAATTAGAGTCAAGTAGTTGGGTTTTGAGCTATTGTTGGGTTTTATTGAGTTGACTTTATTACGATAATCACCTTTTGGCTTAAACTGTTCAACACAAGTTTGGTTCTGTTGGCAGTTTATTTCGTGTCGAAAACAGGAAATTTTCCATAGTACATTTATTTATTTTTTAATTCCCCATATGCTCTTACAAACTAGTTTATCTCATGGTTACCCAAAAAATACATTTTAAGCTAAAATTTGATCAGGAAATTGGATGTGTAGTGGTCTCCAATAAAACTAAAAGGTAGTAATGGGAATCACATTGTCACAATAATCATTGAAAGATAAGAATCATGATCCTCCTTAAATGTTTTCTTTTCATTTGTGTTTGATATGGGCTAAGGTTGGTTGCATTTTTCTTCATGATAAATTTGTTGCTTAGCTGGACATTTGATGAAAGCAGTGCATCTTATAGTGCTTATATTCTTAGGTTGTTGACCACGTGATCGAGGAAACGGACTGTTGAGTCTTTTTTAAGTCCAAGTGTTTGTAATCCCTTAGTACGACACCTTGATTTTTTTTCCCCCTGTTTACATGTATTATGGTACATTGGTATGTCTTGCCCTTTCGACATTTAATGTTCAATGTATGTTGTGACTGCTTTTCCACAACATGGAGTTTGGTTTAAGATTCATTTATATCTGAAACTGTAAGATCTTGTGCTTGCCTTTTGTATGTCCAAGGGACCAGCTGCTAATGACAAACCAAATAAACATACTAATTAGGTCTCTTGTGCTTAAAAAACAGAAAGGGGAATTCCAGTTCAAAGGATGTTAAGAGTGCAGTTGCAAGTAAAGCTTCTAGAAAGAGGTGTTTAGCACCATTTTTTCTTGGACAATATACAAATGATGTTTGTCACCTCTATATGTGATGCTTAATGTTTGTTGCTTTCTATTTTCATGTTTGGCATTTTTTTTTTTTTTTTTGGGTGTTGTTATGATGTCTGGTATCTATCGTTAGATTTTGGTTTTTTTTTTTTTTTTTTTTTTTTTTGGGTGTTGTTATGATGTCTGGTATCTATCGTTAGAGTTTAAATCCCATTTTCCTTGTCTGTCAAATGTTCAATAAAATGCATCAATGATGGCCTATTGTGATTTTGTTTATTGGGTCCATTTTTTAAACTTTTGGATCTTTGCGAATATAATTTAGGAGAATTTTGAACTCACACAATTCTTAATGTCTTTTTACATGTCCAATTATTTACACCGAAGACTTAGTTTCAATATAAAAAAAAATATATATATATATAAATAAAAAATTCTTTCTAAATCCATTAAATTCTTATATAAATTGTTTTTCTAGCTTTGGTTCACTCTTTGCTATTGTGTGTGTATGTGGTCTTTTTTACTGCAAGAGATTATATATGTATTTCTGAGTGTCTATGGTAAGAGATTATATATGAATAATATATGTATCGCTTTGGAATAATATATGTATCATTTCAACCCGTTGTATGGTTATTGAGTTCTAATGTTGGAAATTGAATGCACATCATTTATTGAAACTTTAAAACAACATCCATTCTCAGAAGTGTTACTATAAACTTATTATATTCTTCAAAGTCATTTGATTAGTTGGATTGTATGAATGCTTGCATCTGTTGTGTTATTTTGTTTGCTTGGTGGAAATTTGACTTCTTAAGCTTGATGTCGTAATTGTTAAGATTATACTTGTAGCAGTAATTACTGTTTTTTTTTTTTTTTAAGTAGTAATTACTGCTTTTTAGGTGGAAATTTGACTTCTTAAGCTTGATGTCGTAATTGTTAAGATTATACTTGTAGCAGTAATTACTGTTTTTTTTTTTGGGTAAGTAGTAATTACTGCTTTTTAAGATTTCCTTTGTTGTGTTTTTTAATGTTTATAGTACTGCTCGCCTCAAGAAGCTCAGTTATTGTCTTAGCATCGACCATTGCGACCCTGTCCTCGTCTTTCAGAAGGTCTATGTCGGTGTCTACAATGGCGTCACCACCAGCAAACTCGATGAATTGTCCACTAAAACTGCTGATGCCATGACTACTAACCATCCTAACTATGCTTCTGTGAGTTTCGTTCTGAAATTAGGATTGTAGCTTTTAATCTGAGATTATTGATTTGTTTTTAATCAAAGTCTCTTTCTCAATCAATATCTTTTCTTTCTGTTCTTACTAATTCCTCTTCTCAAAGCAGATATAAGCTTTCACATGCTTCTTTTTCCTTCATTTTCTGGTTTGGTTATTGATCTGACTGCTGGTTAATTAATCTTTAAAAAGATGATCTTTGTGTGAGATTGATGAAAATGATTACAGCTTGAGACCAGCAAGGTAGTTTTTCTTCTTTTTTTTTTTATTGGCAAAAGTTAGCGATTAGTTTTTAGATTGGCACCTTAGAGGAGTTAAATTCACACCCTCTCATTGCAAGCACTTAAGACTTACCTTCTATTTGTAAACAATAATCGAAAGAGAGAATGAGAGGTAAAGAGCTGATAAAAATTCGTGTAATGAATATTCCTCAAGCACACTGAAATACAACATGAATGCATACATAGGTGTGCAAACAATATGCACATGTCTGCTTGCCTCTACATGCACAAAGTGAGATAGAAGGGAGTTGGGAAGGTGATTAAATTTAAATGTGGGACAATCTTGAATTATGAGTTGATTTGGGTGGTGATGGAAGCCTTGTTGAATGGCATTGCCATCTCCAAACAAAAAACAAAAGTGAAAAAACTTAATAAAGCACCTTACTGGGAAGAGGATTCATAAAGTCAGAGGACAAACACAGAATATTTTTTCATATTATACTATATTTTTCTGTTTGATGTTGCTATTTCATGTGTTAGACCCAGTTAAATTGATAAATATGTACTTAATTTATCTATAATATGTGATTGGATGGCTCAACATCATTCATACTTTCAAGCATGACTAAAATGACTTAGGTGGTGCAAGCAAAGAACTAATGGACTAACAGAAAAAGAGATATGCAAGATTGTGGAGTGATTTTATACTTGTTAATCATTCTAACAGCGGCTTGGTCAACTTTTATTTGGATAATGTTGAAATTAGGATTGGCAATGGTGAAGGAATCATCTTCTGGGTAGATAATTGAATGGGAACCAATTGTTTGAAGTCCCAATTTCCTAGACTTTATTACTTATCAGTGGATTAAAAACACAACTTTGAATTTGCAGGTGACTAGGGCTAGAAACCAAAGCAGCTGGGAATTCAACTTCAAAAGACCCGTATTGACATGGGAGGAAGGAGAATTGCAGAGACTACTTGATGTTATAGGTGAGGGCTCTGCATTGAGATTGTAGTCAAATGATAGTATTTGGTGGAAAGTTGATTCTTCAGGTATTTTTCTTGTTAAATGTGCTATTAATTGGTGCGAATCATTAAATGGTCTTACTCTGAAACCTCTTGACTTTATTTGGAACAATCCCTCCCCACCTAGCGCCCAATTTTCTCTTACTTGGCCTGGAAAGGGAGGATTAAGACCTTAGATTATCTACATAGAATTGGTGTTCTTAGTGATGATGCCAGATCTAAGTGTGTTATGTCACTTTAACATTAAATCACTCAATCATATTTTGTTGATTTGCCCCTTTGCTTGCAAAGCTTGGTCCAACATAATCAACTGGTGGGGTTTGCAGTCGGCCTCTCCTAGTTCAGTGGACATGCTAATGCACTAGTGGATGGGTTATAATTTTAGAAAAGGAGAAAAGAAACTTTGGAGATCAATTATTATGGCTGATTTATGGTCCCTTTAGAAATGTAGGAATGACTGTTTGTTCAATGAGCTGCAACCAAACTGTGAAGATCTTTGTGAGCTAATTAAAGTGAGAGTAGCCCTTTGGATGAAAACACACTCGGTGGGCTAAGGCTACACGGTGGATGATTTTGTATACAACATGCAACAAGTAAAAAGGTGCATCTGCTAGAAGATGATCAGAGGAGGCTTTCAAAACAGTGTTTGGAGTGAAACTAGTTGCTGTTAGTTGTTGCTGCTGCTAGTGCTACTGATTGTTTTTGGCATCAGGTGATTTTGGTGTTGTTTTGGTGTTGTTAGTGTTGCTGCTAGTTGTTAGTTGCTGTTTTTGGTGCTGCAGAGCTGTTGTTGGCGCTGCTGGTGTTGCTGCTATGCTACTAGTGCTACTGTTAGTTGCTGTTAGTTGCTGTTTTTGGTGTTGTAGAGCTATTTTTGGTGCTAATTTTGGTGGTGTTGTGTTGTTTTGGTGCTGTTTGATATGTTAATTGTTGTTTTTTTCTTGGCCTTGGTTGGTAGCTCACGAACTCTTGATTTAGATCTTTTTGGACGGTTTTGAAGTTGAGGACAATTTTTGATATTTAGAAACATAGTTTTTGGATGGCTTAGATTGTACAGATAGTTTTTGGATGTTCAAAACTTATGAATAATTTTTTTGATGTTTGAAATAATATTTTGGTGATTGATTGGTACTTATATATATATGTGTGTGTGAAACTTGTTTGTAATGGTTTTTTAGATTGTATAAAACAGGTGAAATAGAACTTGTTGAATTAAAAAAAATAAAAATAAAAATAAAAATAAAAACCAAACATATTCTACGACGGGCAGAATAGGCCGTTGTGTTAAATATTTAATGAGTAGTAATGAGTGTCGTGGTTTGTCTCTTGAATTAACGGCACGCAAAGTAGTTGTAGAAAAATTAAATATAACGTATAAGATTAGCTGTTAAAAGTTTTTAACAGCATGTTATGGCATGCCGTTGAAAGTGAATAACTTTTTATGATTAGTCATAATACGATTTTACCTTGCGTGTCGTAGAATCATACCCACGACGTGCATTTGGTGCTGTAAAAAAATTCATGCATAATTCAACTTTCAAATTCAACATAGATAACAAAATTTATGTTCAAAATGACGAAAAACTACATAATGATGCATGCATGTATGATTAACTCAATATTCATCCTCTTGAAACTATTTTCTTGTGTTCAATCTCAAATTCTCTATAAATTCATTAGCTAGATGTCTTAATTACACGAATTAGGGATCAAACTCTTACCTAGAGTCCTGAATTTGTTGGTTTCTTGCAAAATCTTGATCTTCTTCTTCTAATTCTTCAATCTTCTAGGTAGACCTTCAAGTTCTCTCTCTCTCTCTCTCTCTCTAAAATGAACTTTCTCACTTTCTAGGAGCTCTCCAACAAATTTTGTGATGAAAATGAAGTAATTCTCCTCTTCTTATCATATTATATGCATTAGATTAGCTTAGTTACTTATTAGAGGTTAAGCTAATTTAATTTAGACTTAAGACTATTTAAAACTAATTAAACAAAACTTAATTTACTAAATTGAATCAAATTTTAATTAAACTCTCCAAAAGGCTCTAAATATTATAGCAAACTAACTAAACTCGCCAATTTTGGTTTTTGAACTTATCTAGACTTTCAATTTTTGATTCAAAATAGAATTCCCAACTGATACTTCACAAACCAGATATATACATACAAATTAAACACAAAGTACATAATTCAAATTCAAATTCCACATGAATAAATAAATGCAAATATGATATGCATGGTATAGCTATCACAAGAAGAGATTGTGGCGTCATGGTGTGGATGGAAGGATGGGGAAGTCTCAGAGAGAGTGAGGGGGAACAAAAATGGGATCAGAGAGCAAAAAGAAGTTTACCCTACCAAGTTGAGCCATTTTAGCGAGTTAACTTGTCTATACCGGGTTGATCCATTTTTAACCGAATATATTAAGGGGTAAAATAAAAAATTCAATACTAAAATTTCTTACATCATCACATTCCATCCAATCTTGTAATGGATTCCTAACAATGTAGTGCACAGTGTAATGCAACTCAAATATTAAAATAGGTCAATGTCATTTTCTAAATATAGTGGGGTTAGTTACAATTTGAATAACAATTAGTGGAGGTTGGTGTAATTTGTTCAAAAAAAAAAAAAAAAATAAGGAATAGAGGAAGAGAGAGAAAGATGAATGAAGGAAAAAAGAGCAAATTCATTGATACAATAAGGGTGTTCAAAAAATCGATGGAACTAGTAAATCAATCCAATTCAGTCCAAACCATCAATTTGGTCAAGTTTTTAGTAGATTTGATTATGATTCTAGGTTTGAAAATGGGGGAATGGTGGTCAATTTTCTAGTTCTAAGACTTTAGTTACAGTTCCAGAATGAACCAGACCGTGACATTTGTTTTGCAGCGCTTATGCCAGAAAGAAAATGAGAAAGATTTCAATAGATATAAGAGAGATAGATATATAACTGAAAGGTATAGTTAGAAGAGAGAGTGAGGGAGTTAGAGTTTGTTATAACAAACTCTAACCATCTTGTATAAAGCTGTGTAAACACAAGTTAATTGATTCATTGAGAATTCATTTCAGATTTTGTTATGGTATCAGAGCACGATATAAGGCTCAGCTAGTTACAAAGGGTTATCTTCAACAGGAGGGTGTGGATTTCCAAGATACTTTCAGTCCTGTTGCCAAACAACCAACCATTTTTATTTTGTTGTGTTTAGCACTTTAGCGCAATTGGCCACTCAAATAGCTGAATATTTCTAATGCCTTTTTACATGGCCAATTTAGAGGAGGAAATCTACATGGTTCAACCTCAAGGGTTTATTGACTCTGCCTTTCCTCACCATGTTTGTAAACTTCAGAAGGCCCTCTATGGTCTTAAACAAGCTCCTGGAGCTTGGTATTCTACATTTTCCTTCTTCTTGCTTGGTCAAGGCTTTTACCTCAGTCCCTCAGATTCTTCTTTGTTTGTCCGCAAAACTCCTCATCACATTACTATTTTACTTATCTATGTGGATGATATTTTGTTAACTGGAAGTGATTCTGTGTTACTGCACTCTTTACTTACCCAAATGCACAATGCTTTTTCCATGAAGGAACTTGATGATATCTCTTATTTTCTGGGCATTTCAGTTCATTCTCATTCACAAGGATACTTTCTCTCTCCGCAGAAGTATGCTAGTGGTTTACTTCAAAAAGCTGGTATGACAGAGTGTAAGCCTTGTTATACTCTTTTGGCTATTCACCCATCTGTCTCTCCTTCAAATGATTTGTCTTATTCTAACCCTTCCTTTTATAGAAGTTTGGTAGGGGCTCTCCAATATTTGACCATTGCTAGGCCTGATTTGGCTTTAGCTGTTAATCAAGCCTGTCAACATATGCAAGCTCCTACCCTTGCTCACTTTGCCATGGTTAAAAGGCTCCTCAGATATTTTGTTAACAAACTCTAACCATCTTATATAAAGCTATGTAAACCCAAGCTAATTGATTCATTGAGAATTCATTTCAGATTTTCTTACTTATTATTTTTTTTATATGTAAAAATTAAAATGTAAAAAGTTTCTTATAAGATTTGAACCGAAATTAATAAACTCTAGCTAACTTAACTAAACTAATTGTTGTCAATATATTTATTAATATAAAATATTTATCATATTGTTATATAAATTTTCTAGGACCATAAAACCACACCAAACCAAACCAAACTAGTTTCTATGGTTAGGTTTTGGTTTGGTTCCACAAGTTTAACAATGTGGTTACAGCTCCAATTTTTCTGAAACTGTAGAAACTGGTTCCGTTCCAAGCTTACTCTAAAACCCGATCAATCTGATCTGTGTACACCCCTTGATACAAAGACTAGGGGGGTAGGGAGTGATCAGCAACTACCTTATTGATGCCATGGGTTTGGTATTCAAGCTTGTACCACACCTATGCACGACATTGTTAGCTGTGCAAAATGACACATAGATTAGTCTTCATTCCTAAAAGAGAATTGTTCTTAAGCCTATCTATACTAATTTGAAACCGTAGAAACCGGTTCCGTTCCAAGCTTACTCTAAAACCCGATCAATCTGATCTGTGTACACCCCTTGATACAAAGACTAGGGGGGTAGGGAGTGATCAGCAACTACCTTATTGATGCCATGGGTTTGGTATTCAAGCTTGTACCACACCTATGCACGACATTGTTAGCTGTGCAAAATGACACATAGATTAGTCTTCATTCCTAAAAGAGAATTGTTCTTAAGCCTATCTATACTAATTTGAAACCGTAGAAACCGGTTCCGTTCCAAGCTTACTCTAAAACCCGATCAATCTGATCTGTGTACACCCCTTGATACAAAGACTAGGAGGGTAGAGAGTGATTAGTGACTACC